CAGGGCCGAGAATAACGTATCGTCCCCAGGAGGGGCATCGTCTACTATCTGAACGGTCTGTGATGGATGACCGTCACAGGCCACCTGGGGAGACACCTGTCTCGTGGAAGGCATTCTAAAGTGAGTACTAAATGTCCGATGTCCTTAAAATGAAAACAAGTGCCCAAGGGGAAGTCACTCGGCACTTCACCTATAGGGCGTCCAGCCCCGAGTGTGCGGCCTGCAGGCCACGCAGAAAGGTCTGCGCTGGAGCCGGCAGTCACGCTGCACTGCAGCCAGGCTGGGGACGCCTGGCCTCAGGGACAAGCCAGGCCACCGATCAGCCAGGGGCGGCGCTGTGGCCGTCCTCCGTGCGGTGACAAAGTGGCCTCCTCTGGACTCGATCTGCTGCTCTGCAGTGTTAATTCCCACCTTTTAACCAACGCCCAGCATGACTGCGCCCCAGTTTCCGGACGACTGAAGCCGAAAAAAACAGAAGAAGGCTTTCCACTTGGGAAACTCAGTCCGGGCTGGTCCGGGTTGATCCAGCTATGCATTACTAGGACAGAATGCGACATCCGAGGCGTTGGAGACGCCTCTGCACAATCGTGGTCTTTGCCGTGGATTGCGAGCTTTGGGATGGAGAGACCGACTCTCGGGCTTTAGAGAACAAAGCATTTCTAACCCCAGCAGAGTTCAGCAGACTCCTCCTTGCCTTGGCCGCCACACCTGTCCACGTGAGTGGCCCCGGCCTGGCCCCGACCGCAGACCCACCTGGGGCCTCCACCCGCCCATCGCGAGTCCTCAGGTCTGAGCTGCGCAGGACTTCCCCACGAGCCTTTCAGAGCAAGTGACGGGGCAGGAGTCAAGAAGCCGTCGGGGGACGGCACCCGTTTGAGGACGAGGCACTCGCGGGGCAGCGGAGGGATGAGAAGCGGCGGTTCTCATGATCCTTGTGGAGCTCGGGGCTCGACCAACCAGCTCCCAGAATTCAAGCCCCTCGCCTCCCGCAAACGCTTTCCTGGACCCTGTCGGCTCTAGAATGCAGATCCGGAGGGGACAGCCTGAAAAATCACTGGCCCGGACTGTTCACCAACCTCTGGGGATAAACGTTCCACGAACAAACGGGCAGCATGTGCTCTCAAGGGAACAGTGAAGTCGTTACCCAAACGCGGCCCTTAATTTGGACTGAAGCAAAGGTGACTTATGCTTATTTAAAAATGATCACATTGAAATGATTGAGCGTGTGCAATAAATCGACCAATGATTCAAACTGGTACGAAACAGTGCAGTAATCTCAGCGGTCAATCCGTTCTCTTTTCACGGGTCATAGTAAATGTCACCAAATATTGTGAACATCATTTCACTGCATCCAGCTGCTAGTAACAAAAAATGTTCAACGAACATTGGCTTAAATTAATAAGTACTTTATTTTCCTCATGTAACAAGAAAGATGGAGGTAGGAAATCCAAGATAGGCTAATGGGTTAGATCAGCAAGACCACGGACTCCCCAGTTTTCTTCTCCATCGCCCTGAATGTGCCGGCCACCATTGTAAAGGGGACGGCCTCGTGGTGCAGAGTGGCTGCTGGGTCTCAGAGAGTCAAAGTCCCCCAGCCAGCAGCACTTTTTAAAAAATAAACCATTTCTGGAGGCCCTCTCTAGTCACTTCGGCTTCTAGATCCCTGTGTCCTGCAAGTCACCTGGCCATTGCTACCTCCGAAGGGTCCTGGAAAGAGAATGTTAGTGCTTCCCAGACTCTTTACGGAGGGAGACAAAGGAAGATGGGGTTTTTAAAGTGGTATTTGCACGGCCAATCCAGAGTGTCTGCCACGAAACACCAGCAACATTAGAAACTGAATTTAGCCTTACGAAAAATACCATGTCCATGGAAACAAAGTCACCTCCCAAACATAAAATCATTTTTAATGCATGTGACAGTGTCAGCTAGTACAGTATTTAAGTATTTTGCTATTTTGCGTTGTTTTCAGAAATAAATTTCTTTAAAATTTCTTGGGAATAAGTTGGGAGTTAAGGATAAATCACAGAAAATGCTATTTCAGGCAAAATATATTACTAGAACGATTTTCACATAGGCGGGAAAATTAATGAGGTTAAAAAAATAAGAGCCTGCTTGAGATGATCATGAATCAAACCATTTTTAAATTAATTCTGTATTCTTAATTCCGCCATGACAATCGGGCAGGTGCGAGGCATCTCTGGTTGGAGTAGATAACAATTCACGGTTCTCTCTCACCTGTCACCTTCTGACTGCTTCGTATTTTCTCGACTTCAAAACGCATTTAGGTGGTTGCCATAAAGAAGAGAAGAAGATGCATATTCAAGAAACAAAGAAGACAATTTCAATTTCAGAAACTCGGGAGCAGGTTTAATAAACGACTGGCCCCGTTGCCAGCTTTTTCCTAACGACGTTCACTGTCCCAGACTGGGAGCTGCCATGTTTCATGTGCTTCGCACGCCTCGCGACTTACTGTTTTCTCAGAGTGTGCTCCCGGCCCATGATTTTCTGAGACAGGACGTTACGCCCCTTATAAAGAAATACCACATATCTGTTTTTACCAAGACAGATATTTTATGTTTAATTTCTTTACCAAAGTCTACTTCATATTTATTATATCGTACTAAAGTTAAATATTCTCTGTTTACTATATCTTCTAAGATACATATCTCGTGACTACTTTATAAAGATCATTTTGTGATTGAAAGGGACATATAGCTATGCGCAATTTAAACATTTTTTCTGGGCTACTTTTTTCAACTTTGCTCTACAATTAGGCGCAACATTTGGGCACTTGATTATCCAATTACCTGTGCCTCAGAGTGAGCCCAGATTGCGTCTGGAAAATAATCTTGGCTCTGCCCACAGGCCCTCCGTTAGGTCACCTCCACGGAGCCGGTGCGTCCTCTGCTCACGCATGTGTTCCTGTGAAGCACTTCTTATAAGATAATGTTATTTAATACGAGCATATGGCTCTGTCCTAAGCTGGCAACCCAGTTATCTATAGAGCAAGTACGTATCTGGTAATACAGTACTGAATTAACTGCTGATCGATAGTTACTCGGAGTTGCTCCGGACTGAATTCCGTCCCCCCACAGTTCAGAGGCTGAAGCTCTGAACCTCTAACCCCCACGTGGCTGTATTTGGAGATGGGGCCTTTACGGA